CCCCCCCCCCCCCAGCAGACCAGGGACACCCGGAGCAGCTTTTCTCGCCCCGGAGGATGCGGTGGTGGGACCACTGCGCGTCTGGGTGTTCCCACCGCCCGCGAGCTCCGGGGCGAGAAAAGCCCCATTCGTAAGTGCGGATCCGACATAAGTCAGATCCGCGTAAGACTGGGACTGCCTGTACCCAAATACCCTTGTCCTGCCTCCTTTGTGCCCCTTTTCCGAGGCCCTAACCCTGCTCACTCAGTCCTCCCTTCCTCCCTCCCCCATTTCCCTCCCTTGCACCAGACAGGAGCCAGAGGGTTGGAGTGTGCAGGCTTTGGTCTTGGGATTTGGAGTGTGAGGGGGGCTCTGAGCTGAGCCTGGGGCAGGGAGTTGGGTGTAGGAGGGGGGTTCAGGGTACAGGCTCTGTAAGGGAGTTTGGGTCTGGGGGCAGGGCAGGGGCTTGGGGTAGTAGGAAGGGGTTCATGACTGGGGCATGGGTTTGGAGCTGGCTCCAGATGGATACTGCTTATGTCAGGTGGCTCCTGGGTGGTGGTGCAGTGGGGCTAAGGCAGGATCACCCTTGTCCTGCCCCTGCACCACTCTCAAAAGCAGCCAGCAAACTCCCTCCATCCCAAGCCCTGTTGTGCCTCCCCCGTTTTGTGGAGATAGAACATAGGGTGGAAGAGGGGGCACCCTGATGTCAGTGCCCTTCCTCTCCCTTCACTGCTCTGTACCGCAAGGAGGAGGCTCTTGGGGTGTATGTGGGGGGACAGCTCCAAGGCAAAGGGCAGGAGGTGCACAGAAGTGATGGGAGGGGCAGCTGAAGTGTTGTGCTTGATAGCTTCTTGGCCAAACCAGTCAAGATCACCTGTCAGAGGCTCCAAGATCTACCAGTAGATCCCGATCTACTGGTTGGTGACCACTGCCTTAAATTGACTCCTATCGCCCCACACAACCTTTAACTCAAAGGGTAGATCTTCACTGTACACTTAACCCAGGTTCTGACTTGCATGTTGTCCCTGGCTCCTGGCCCCACACACAGCCTTCGTACTGAAC